GAAAAAGCTTGTCCCAAGCTTGTCCCTCAAATGGATGTATCTAGCACTAACTTGGTGCTAGATACATTCATTTGAAGGACAAGCTTTTTCGGACGGAGGGAGTACATGTTAATATTCTATCCTGATACTGTTGCAAAAAGAAAAGGGAAATTTACAAGTGAATTTTTCTAGTGGAAAGATCTTCCAGTTACAGTGCACAAGTCACACAATTCTAGGAGCAAAAGCAAATAGATACCTTTCAGTTTTAGCCATGGTTTACAAAGCCAGTTAGTTCAGAAATCCTAGCCATGTGTGTGAGATTATGAAACTTGCTTCACTGGCTGTTACCAAAATCCAAGTGGCATCCAACTGAAGAAACTACATATTATATAGATGTCCATAGATTCCTTGAGAAGAAAGCAATTACTTGGTGCTGTCTCTGCTCACTAATTTCATGTGCAAGGATCATGTAACACTCAACCTAGTACTGACTTGAGTCATAAGCAAGGAAGATGTAACAACTCATTCATCCAATATAATATAGAATAGTAAGACTAAAATGAACAAGGAAATCAGAATCTACAAGTTGTCACCAACAGTTATTTATACAATAAAAAGTTGCAACCCTACATTTGGACCATCAAGACAATTTACCATGCATTCATGATTTATCAAATAGTATACCAGTACATCAAATGAAGATTTGGTAGAGAAATGTCACCTGATCTTGCGCATTTCTTCAAAAACATCACCCATGTATGACCGCTCTTCGTCAGCAAAGTGCACTATACCATCAAGGTGATGCTTCTTAATATGATAGATTGCATTGTTCCTTTGACAGACAGCAATCTTCCGTACACTGGTAAGATTTTTCCTGCAGACAATATGCCTGTACATAACCCCAGAAGACCTGAGGATTTCTGCTGTTTCAAAGGTAGTAACAGGCCATTCCACCACCAACCATAAGAGAGGAGGTGGTACACCTTTCAGAACATGAGCTAGGCGATTCAAGTAATACGCCTGCTGCGGCCGAGCAGAAGTGATTGTCACCACTATCAGAAGCTTCCTCACAGGGATGACCAAATCAGTAATAGCAGGTTTCGCAGCTTCGACAAAATCCACCTCATCATCCAACATTGCAGGAACCGGAGGGCTCAGCTGCTCAACCTCGGGCTCATCAACCACCTCAACCTCTTTCTGCACTACGATTGCATCCAACTCCTTAACCTTATCATCCACCCCATCGTCGAACGGAAGCCTCGAGACTATCTTCTGAGAGACATCGACCGAGAAGAAGGGCGTGAACCCGATGAAGATGCCGATCATGAAACACACGAACAGCCGGAACGCGACTCTCCTGCAGCCCGGCCCCTTAGATTTCGACCTCTCAGGCGATCGCCATGCGGACTTCATCGTGCTTGACCACAGGGCGAAGTCCAAAGAGGCCAGCGACGCCAGCAGCCCCCTCATGATGACATAGGACTGCGAGTAGAGCAGTTTAGGAGAGGGCGAGGGGTCGGCAAACTGGGACCAGTCCTTGGGTGGGCCATCGCGGTGGAACGCCCCTGTGGAATTCCTTCTACTGGACACCATTCCAACATCATTATGCATGTATGCCTCCTAAATTGCTCAGAAGTTTAGTCCAAGATCACTTCTCCTACTGTCTCTTCTGCTCATGCGGACACGCAGAGAAAAATTGTACCTGCAAATACAACGAGTTGAAGAATTGGCTTAGCTCAGCTGAAAGTAGAGATCAGTACAGCAATTATAACCACTTCTGCAGCTGCAATTCAGTACAGCAAGATCTGCAAGGGCACCAAAAAGGATCACAGAGAGGAGACATCTCCCCCCACCCCCACAACAATCGACTGAACCAACAACGAACCCCCATGCGTCAAGAAACAGGATCGGCACCCAAAGAGCCAATTTCCGATCCAAATGGCCAGCGCGGATTCCACCGCGCAGCAACAGCGCCAACAAAAATCAAGTGCAAAAGAAGTACAGGGCGACGTGCATGAACTGGAACCTGTGATCCGAGCACGGTAGCACAATTTCACCAGCAACGCCCCCCAAATTCGGACACAGAAGATTTCCGCCGCAAAGCTACAAACCAGAACAGAACAGGGGAGGGAAGGGGGGACTGGACGGGTGGGGGTACCTCCGAATTGGGCGGGATCTGGACGCCGGACGGGCCGGCAGCGCGCGGCTGTCGGGATGCTCCTCCCGGTCCTCTCTCTCTCTCTCCCGCTTTGCTCGGGTGTGCTTGGCTCAGCTTGGTGCGGTCAGTTTGGTGGCGCAACCAATCGAGGGGGACAGGAGAGAGGAGTTGGTGCGGCGGTGGCTGGAGGGAGGGAGGGAGGGTGGTGGATAGGGAGGGGGAGGGGAAAGGGGGCAGCGGAGCGGAGCGGAGGAGCGAGTAAACAAATGGCGGCCGTCGCCGTCGGAGGTTGCGTCTCAAGCTGTGACCTTTTCTCGTTTCCTCGCGGTTTTACGGACGGCGATGGTTGTTTTGCTCCTACCACCACGGTGTTCCTTCATCCAGTTCTTTGAAGAGCCCCCTCTTTGTACATCAAAAAAAAAGAGCCCCCTCTTTGCTTTGTGTGTACCAAAGGATGCAATTATTCAAAGATGCAATTATTCAAAGTGATTTGGGTACAAGAGCGTGAATTATATAACGACATAATAGAGTTTTGATATGAGGTCCATAAATTTACTTGGTGTTTACTTGAAGAGTCGGAACACGGAAGGTTGTCGACCCGCTGCTTGGACGATCCAAAGGGTATTCATGTGCATTCACATGAACACCAAAGACTGACCCTAAAAATCAAGTATAGCTATACAAATGCTCCTAATAATTGTAGAGGCCAACAGTTGATCAATTGTTGCACAATGTTTTTTTAACCGTGAATACCAAAGTGTAAATTCTTGGGTTCATCGGCTTCATGTCGACCACAATGACACACCTTATTGTCGACGATCCATATCGCGGCCATGGCGGGGGCTTTGGCAGGTGATGGCACAACACCCTAAGTCAACCCTTCTCACGCGGTGCGAGGGGTGTGGGGGATATTCTGAAGCGGTTGTATCAACTTCATGCAACAATAAGCTTTAATAAAAGCTCATGTTGTTGAAAGAATATGATCTTATGGAATACTCCCTCCATCCTTGGAACAGTGTACTTCCAACTTTGTGAAACGTCAATTTTTTTATGTTTGACCGCATTTATACAATAATAGGCCAACGTTTATGCCATCAAATTAGTAGCATTAGATGCATGATAAAAAATATTTTCATCATATACCTATTTGGTTTCACGAGTATTGACATATTTTTGCACAAACTCGATCAAACTTTGAGATAGTTTGACCCTCCAAAAAAGTTGAAAGTACAATCTTTCAAGGACGGAAGGAGTATCTATCAAAGATGCCCTTAATCGTTGAAGAAATTGTGGTTAGATAGCGGGGATCTCTTCTCCGGGGTATTTATGCCAAGTTGATAGTTACTACATGGTCTTTAAATGTCATTTGAAATCTAATTAATAAATGATATTTGAGTCCTTTGTTGTATTATTTCAAGATTAATCAATTATGTCATGTGATAAAATAGAAGTCACACCGGTGGATGAAAGTAAGTTCATCTTAACTAACCAAACCACAAAGAAGTCACACTAGTTAATGAACCACATGCCCAGCCCCAAGCGATCTAGGGTTCCTCCCCCGCCATCATCCTTCTCCGTTTGTAGATCGCCGACCTCCTCCTCCACCGGCTTCGTCAGTGAGGGTGTGCTGGGAGTCCCGATCTACCGGTGGGAGCGGTAGTTTTTCTCTCTTGCATTAGGTAGGTCTCCATTCGCCAGTTGCGAGACGATGTTGTCATCATCGGCATGGAATAAAGTCTCCCCGCCTCTTTCTCTTTTCGATGATGTTTGTTTGTATCGCCTGGAGGCATGTGGAAGATGTTGGGTTCTTGGACCTGGTTCTTCATGTCTGGTGTTTTCTTCTACATGTTTGTTTTGGTATGTAGAGCGGGCAACGTGGTTGTATGTCTTGGTACTCTTCCTCCAGCTCCGACTGACAAAGGTTGTCCAGACTCATTCTCGTCAGTGAGTGCATGAGGTTTGTGTTCCCCGAGTCCGTTTGGCCGGTACCGAGGCGTTCTACGGTCCCTTTCCGTTGTTTTCTTCGATGGGGTGGCGATCTACTACGCATATCACGGGCACTTGTGTCTTATGGTATACTCTCTCCGTTCCGAATTACTTGTCGTAAGTATGAATGTATCTAGATATATTTTAGTTCTAGATACATCCATTTCTGTGACGAGTAATTTGGAACAGAGGGAGTACATCGACGACTTCCTAGGTGTTGATTTTACAAGCTCATCTATTTAAGACAAGTTTGCTCCGTCAAGACAGAGGCTCAGAGACGGCAGCGAGTTTTGCTCACGGCGCGCCATCGGTGGGTGTAGGAGGAAGAAGACTTCGGCATCCTCAAGAATTTGAATATATTTAATTTATGTAAGGATGTTTTTACGGGTTTGTGTTGTTTAATATATGGTCCCAGCCTTTTGAAAAGAAAAGCCACAGGAAGTTAAAACCATTGCTTAGGAGTCTTTTTTTTTTCTCTTTACAAAGAGGGCACCTGTGATTCTTTTTTCTTGGATTTTGTTTTTTCATCTATTTCTATTATCTAATCACACAAAGCATGATTTCATCATTTTAAATACGAAGTTGCTTACAACAAATACCATGGATAACCCAATAAAAGTCCGCTAGTGTCGTCATCTCTACTCCATAGACTGATTTTATATGACCAGGTCTTGACACGCCATCTTCAATCGACCACACAAGGAGAAAGCAAAACTCTATAGACTTTCTCCCAAAAATATCTCATCTCATGAACATGGAAGACTGTGTAGTGAATAACCTTGTCGTCCGGGACAGCGCACGGTGATCTGATCGCTAAACTAGTCGTGCAGTGCGATGGCATTCATGGCAGCCCATGCTCGTGTCCGTCTCACCAGTCACCAGACCCGCCGGATTGGCCTGGCCGGAGACGTACGCGCCGGTGCAGTGGTTGCAACGGCGGCGCGTGTGCTCTCCGACGACGACAGATCACGGCCGTCCGATCCGCAGCCACCCTCTCGATCTCCAGCTGTTCATGTGTATGGTGTAGTGGACAGACGGTGTGGGTGTAGCTAGTGCTAACTTTTAGTATGATCACCACGTAGCGTCACCGGTGGAAGGAAGGAGTAGTGACCGACGTATGAGGGCATCTCCAGCCATTGGCTCCGAGGGGGCGCCTAAAATCGCCGCCTGGGGGTGAGCCGACGCAAAAATTGGGCCTGGGGCGAGTTGGTCACCAGCCGCCGGCCCCAGGGCCGTCCCGGGCACATTTTAAAATAAAAGAAATTCGGCGAAGTTCAGCTTAAACACGATAAATTTCGGCACATTTCAACGAAGTTCATGGATTTTCATTACATAGCACATATATATAAACTAATCTAAAGGAAAAACTGGCTGAACTCGCCGCCGTCACCGCCATCGTCGTCGTCGGCCTTCTCCTCCTTGACGCGGGCGCCCCTGCTGGACCCCTGCCCGGCGTCGCCATGGCGGACTGGTGGCGGCGCATCGTCGTCGCTGTCGCAGATGACGACGACTCCGCCTTCGTCGCGGCTGCGTCGATGCTCCGCGAAGCAAAGCAGGGCGGCGCGCTGGCGCTCCTTCGCCTTCTCCAGACGCTCCTTCTCCATCGCTATGGAGTCCCTGCGCGCCCATTCCAGGGCCGCGTCGTCGTCGTCGAGCTCCGTCGTCGCCGGCGCGGCCGGCTCCTTCATCGGCGCGAGCCCCGGCTCCGTCTTTGGCTTGACGAAGCACGGAGGAGGAGCCGATGAGTAGGTGCGCCGGCCGCCCTCGTTGATGACGATGCCGGCGCTGTGAGTGCGCCGGCCGAGTGGCGTCTCCGCCGCGGGCTCGGCCTTGACGCCGAGCAGGGCCGGAGTGCCGGAGGAGTGCGATGAATATCGGGAGGAGGAAGAAGAGGAGGAGGACCCGAACCTCCTTGGTGCCCATGGCCCGGCGCGTCGGTGCTGCGCCGGGGCGGCCGCCCTCGCCGGGTACGCCACGGGTCGTTGCCGCCCTCGAGGTACGTCAGCACGCCCTCGAGTGTGCGGCCGGGGACGCCCCACCACAGGTGGCGCCCCTCGCTGTTCTGCCGGCCGCCAACCACCGGCGCGCTGTTAATGGACGCCAAGCGCTGCTGCTGGCGGCGCTCGAAATACGCCGCCCAAGCCACGTGGTTGTCGGCGGCATACTGGGGGAGGGAGAGTTGGGCGTCGGTGAGGGAGGCGCGCACGACCTCGACTTCCTCGGCGAAGTACTTCGGCTTCGCCACGGCGTCGGGCAACGGGGGAATGGGCAACGGGGGAATCGGCACTCCCCCGGCGCATGTCCGGCGGCGCCGGGATGTTCGCCTGGAACAGGAGACAGGACTCCTGTTCACGGAGCGAACGGCGGCCGAAGCCGTTGGCCGCCGCCTCGTCTCCGGGGTAGCGTTCCGCCATGGCGACGGGCTCGGGAGAGGTAGAGAGATAGAGGGAGGGGCTGGGCGGCGGCG